GGAATCAAGTCCGGACCAGAAGCTTTGTTGATGTCGAGCGACAAGAGCACTCGTCTTACGGTCTTATGCCTGAATGTTACCTCCCGCATAGTGTGGGGAACCCTTTGAATTGACAGCACTTGGGCGTTAGGGGGGGCGTCCATGGTGGAGTTGGCAGCAAAGATCTTGGCTAGCACTTCCGCCTTGGCCTTTGAGTCGAATACAATAGTTCCATCCTGACACGTAAGTGGTGGAAGGCTACTGTGTGAGAAGTTCTTTTCAATCTGCTTGGCCAGCGTCCAGAAAGACCGACTGCCATTGCGCTGCGACATTACCCTGTGCCTAACTTTTATATCATGCTGGTTTTTGGCATTGCGAACCGCTTCGTTATATTTGTTTCTGGACTCGACGTCGGCTTGTCTGTTCTCTACAGTGGGGTTTTGTAAGTAGGTTCTGTGGGCCTTGATCTTCTGCTGGCGAGCAGTGTCACACGATTTGTTGAACCAGCCGTTGGAACCTGGTTTAGGAACTTTCACTGTGTGAGGGATGTATTCCTCCATTCCGACGTGGATAATTTCGGTTATTGAAGAACAGACAGTCGACGCATCCGCGTCAGTGAAACAGACATCTCTCCAAGGAAAGCTAGAGAAGAAGTCTCTGAGCCCCTCCCAGTCGGCATGTCCGTAATGCCAAGTTTTGCGGCCTGTGCGAGTTTCTGCTGCCACAGCGGCTTCTAACCGAAACCTAACCTCCACAACACCGTGATCTGAGTTACCCAGGGGGGACAGGACAGCAGTGCTGTAAGGGGCAGGATGCGTGGTGAGAAAGAGATCCAGCAGGCTACTGGCGTGTGACGAGACGCGGGGGAAAAAAGTAGGGCTCGTGACCAGCTGGGTCAGCCCTTGAGTAAGAGCGAACGCTTCGACTGCACGACCTGCTGCATCGGTCTTATTTGAGCCCAACCAAAGCTCATTATGGGCATTTCTGTCTGTCTCCAAATGACTAGACCTGTACCGTACTGATGATTGCTAAAAAGCATTAAACAATTTTGTCGAAGGTTATTTTTAAAGTAAGGACAATTTTGATTACTGGGCGGACACAATCATCGGGTTTTCTGATTGACAAACAGATCAATATAACCACCCAACCAACGCCGACAGACACCTGAAACGTAATGGCGGCGTAGTGAGAGACCGGCCAAGAGTGTCTGAGGTTGAACGGACGTCACGTAACTGGGTGCACGGGCATGATGCGCAATCGGTTCTTAGTTTAGTTTATGCAACTTTTGCGACCAGTAAAACATGAGAATTTTTGCAAAATACACTTTTTTGAGGCAAATATTCCTATTCCGCCGAAAAAAATATTTGGGAAATATCTCATCTTAGAGATGTATAGAGTAGTTGTGCTTATTATCCTCTTATTTTTTTAACACTCTGTAATTAAATCTAAGGGCTTACTTATTTCACTAGCCATCTGCAAAGTGTCATTGTCACAAAATAATCAAAAAATATTGCTTATTGCGGAAAACCGATAATCAGAAGAATGCTAAGAGGTATAATCCATGGAGAGTCAGCAGTTACTGGTTTTGAGGTAAATTTTACATGCTGAGAAGTTATAACAAATTACCTATTGGGTTGCGAGAAAAGATATGTACTTTGGGTTTCCATACACGATTTCACATCTACCATAGTATTCCTGACATTCGCTGTGGCTGTATGGCTGTATCATTTGCCAGATTCAGATTTAGTGCGTACTGTTCTGTGCTGTTTGTTATTGTCAGATTATCCAAATGCAGACATATTTCGAGCTACAGAATGAGGGAACCCCGTGTTTTTCGAATTTTTGTTACTGCGCCTGCAGGGAAAACGAAAAAAGTTGTGGAAACATACTTTGTAGAGTATGAAATAGCGATTGAGGTACGGATGACTCCCCCAGCATTTTGGGCTACTTCGTAAATATTGTCTTAAATGTAATATAAACACACTCTAAGGGCCGATTATGTGGTAGATACAAATGGACTCCAATGAAGTAATGTATACTTCTGATATGTGTAAACGGTATGATAGTCATTATTTAAATGGGTGATAGAGGGGGTTAAAAGGAGCATACATTTTCATATAACATGGGGGTCAAAACGGCATTTTTTTAGAGAAAAGCGACTTTAAAGTTAAATAAAATCTGACAACGCCGCAATGCCAGGCGCAAATTACGACGGAACGCAGTGTAAATAAAGATGGAGTTTGTTATTTTTGTCTCTTAGGTATTATTTCATTATTTGAAAATGTACTCGTAAAAGGAAACAAAAAAAACAGACTTACCACTAACTGTCTCAGCGCTTCACCTGGTGTGTGAAAGTTTATTGAACGTATTAAAACAATCCACTTATAAATAGGGAACACCATTTTGATACATACATTGTTTTTCTTTTTAAAACCCACACTGCACTTTTTTGTATTTAAAGAAGGTGTTCACAATGTCGTCCTCCACTTTCCACACAAGCTTCATTACGACGAACCCAGTTTCTTCTTACTCTAGGTCCTCGAAGTCCATTTAAGTTCTCCCCAATACCAGAAATCTATCGGATTGAGGTCAGGAGATCTTGCTGACCATTTTCGAGGATCAGGAGCATTTCGACCGATCCAGCGATTTGGATAATGTTCATTCAAATACTGAATGACGCCTCTAAAAATGTGTGGTGGTGCCCCGTCATGAAGAAACCACAAATTATGTTTCCGTTGTAATGGCATGTTGTCTAAGGTCTGTTCCAAAAGTTCTGGTAGGTTATTGGCTAGAAAGCTAAGGTATCCTTCTCGTGACAACTTTGGGGGTAACTCGAAAGGGCCAATTACATGATCGTCAAGAATACCCGCCCAAATATACCAAATAAGTGACATATAAATCCGAACACCCAGTTTAAATGGTTTTATTTTAATAAAAGTTGGTGAATGTATTTATCTTACTGTAAATAACAAGTGAAAAAAATTTCAGCCTTATCAGTTGGACATTCCGGTTTTTATACTGCATTATTTTAATTCACTAACGCTCTAAAAATGAATATTTCAGCCGCAGTAAAGAATCAACGTTGTCGGATTTTGGTTCTTGACATCCTTTACGATCGGTTACGATGCCTAGAGTACGGAGACCTGTACGATTTCGTCAACTTAGTGAGTTTGATAGGGGCCGTATAGTGGGACTTCGGGAAGCTGGACTTTCTTTTCGGGCAATTGCAGTTAGAGTGCAAAGAAGTGTAGACACTGTGGTTAGGTGTTGTCAAACATGGCTTCGAGAAGGCCGTACGCAAAGAGCAAGGGGCACTGGACGCCGCCGTAGAACAACAGACCGTGAAGATCGCCGCCTAAGATTATTGGCCTTAATGGACCGTTTCTCCACTACCAGGTCCATTGCAAATGAATGGTTTGCAGAACTCGGAAGACCTATTGGCATGCGAAGTGTTTACCGACGAATGAGAAGTTTTGGCTTGTTTTCATACCGGCCACACTGGGTCCTCCCTTTAACTCGAGAACACCGACGTAATCGCCTTGAGTGGTGCAGACAACGGTCACTCTGGGATCACGAATGGAACAGTATTGTCTTTAGTGACGAGTCTCGACTTTGTTCAGGCATGCACGATGGTCGTGCCAGGGTTAGAAGGCGACGTGGTGAAAGGAGGAATCCACAGTTTTTTGTTGAAAGACATGTTCATCACACTGTTGGAGTTATGGTTTGGAGTGCTATAGCTTATGGTTCCAGGTCACCTTTAATCTTCATCAGAGGTAACATGAACGCGCAGCGTTATATCCACGAAGTTCTAGAACCCCGTCTTTTACCCTATCTTGACACCCTGGCAGATCCAACTTTCCAACAAGATAATGCCCGACCACATGTTGCAAGAGTCACAATAGACTTCTTTCAACATAATGATGTCACATTGTTACCATGGCCACCAAGATCTCCCGACTTATCCCCAATTGAGCACGTGTGGGATATGATGGGTAGGAGATTGCTCAATTTGCAACGTCCTCCTCAGACTCTAGAAGCACGTCGAGATGAGTTGGTGGTTGGCTGGAATGAGATACCACAGGAGGACATTGACCACCTGAACAGAAGCATGCCTAGGCGCGTTGGAGAATGCGTAGCACATCAGGGTGCATCCACACATTATTAAAGGGCAAAGGGCTTTAAAGCAGTGCAATCATTTTGAAATTTTTATCATTTACTTATTATGCTTCATTAAGTACTTATACAAAATTTTATTAAAATAAAACCATTTAAACTGGGTGTTCGGATTTATATGTCACTTAGTATATTACTACTTATCTAGCTGTTATTCTACCGTAATGGATACTCGTGAAAAAGACAGTACACGCGCCGCGACTCAAAGGAAGCAAATTCTAGAATACAAAGATAACTGCTACGCATGGAAACACTTATATGAATTTAAGCATGATTTCATATTTTATTTCTGGAGATTTACGATACAACTAAACATTTAAACCTAGCACATTAATGCCAAAAAAGTTTATAGATTGTCGTACCTCTGTACCCTTTTTGTCGGACTTCTATACACTTCCCAAGGCAATGTCAATCGCAGAACAACAAAAAATGACCCTAAAATGGTATGAGTTTTAATTTTTATAGCATTTTTGGTCAAAACGGCGAATTTGAAGAACATTCGTACCTCAATTGTAGGCCTCGAGGCCCCACAAAGTATGTTTCAACAGTTTTTAAAATCTTTCTCCTAGTCATAAAAATTCGATAAAACCCAAGTCGAGCCCAAAATGAACTTTAAGCCTGTGACGAATAATGGAGAGTCAGAAAACAATAGCAAATTACATGGTACGCTACTATTTGCCGAATCAAGAGACGCGCTACCAGTGGCGTACGATGTGTTATGATAATCTCTTCCATGTTGATACCCCGAGTATAGCAAACGACTTGCTTATCTCATAATTTATTGTAGCGAAAAAGAACTGATTGAATATGGGGAGTGCTGTCAGTCTACTTGAATCTCTTTGTTGCAGTAGTCTGAGGTCGTTCGATTCGGATGCGGCGACACCTGTACCTGTAGCTAACAAACCAACAGCACTGAACAGTGCCAGGCAACCACCCCAAACAGGAAGGACCGAACCTAGAAAATTGGACGAGGGGGAATTAGATTACGATGGTAAGAAAACTTACTAAACAAATGCATTATTTGCCCATATTTTAGTCGAAAACCGTGTCCACGTCTACGCTTATACAGCTACTGGCACCATATTTATGTACCGTGATGCCGCACAGTGGTCCAAATCTCGTGGAAAAAAGGTCAGAAATACTTTTTATCTTCCGCGCTCTCTTCAAAAATGTGTTTCCATGGACATTTTGAGTTCAGTTATTTCGTGTCTACTTTCGCTAAGATTGTACGTTTCATAGAAAATAAGTAACAAACGATAATACGAGTACCTATATTTTTGTTATCTTTTATTCATTGGTTTTAAATTTTCTCAATCATTATTCAGAGCTACTAGTTAAATTAAGCACACTAATTTAGAACTAGGTATATGACTTTCAGAGATAATTTTTTATATTTTAAAATTAACAACACGATAACATTCGTAAATTAAGGTGAAGTGCCAGATACGAAGTTGTTACAGAGCCAGTGATCTTACAGCACTTGAATTTTGGTTCTTACTAGCCCAAAATTCCATATTTACTATTAATATAGGCAAAAAGGGCATACAATTATTAAATTACTTCAGTAATCCTGAAAGAGAGAAAATTAATTGAATTATAGCAATAAGTTGTTTTGTTTCATAGCTCGTTGACCTCACTTTGAATCTGAATAATAGAATGTGTTTGTTGTGTGGGTGTTCATTCACTGTTTTTTTTGTCTGCTTTAAAACGAAATGTGTTTATTATTGTGACTAGCTGCGATCGATATTCAAAAGTTTAGACATCTTTTGAGAAACAAGTTGATGGCCGCTTTTTAAGTGATTTGGACCGATGTGCCCCACCAACCGCATATGCTTACATAATATGTACGAGGGGGTACCCAATAAAACCGGAATTAAAAACTATTTATTTTCAACTGTTTCACAAAGTAACATTATCTCCTTCAAAATACTGTCCACTACAAATGTGTGACAGCTCCTCCCTCGTTTTTCTTGACGTCTTCACACGGAACCAGGTCAGGCCAATAAGGTGCGTGAGGCAGCGGAACCATGCCATTTTTAGTCAGAAACTGTCGAACAGAGATGGCTGTGTGCGCAAATGCAATATCGTGGCGGAAGAACCCGTCTCCTGACTGCCACAAATCGGGTCTTTTTTACCTAACACTGTTTCGCAATCGTCTTAAAACCTCCAAATAGCACAAGCTCTCGAATTTTCTCAACAATTTCGTCGATTCGGGCAGTTGATGGACGTCCAGAGCAAGGTTTGTCATCAATCGATACGTCGCCATTTTTAAATCGTGCAAACCACTCTTACACCCGAGTTTTTCCCATAGCATCATCTTTGTAAGCTATTTTCAACATTAAAACAGATTCAGCAGCATTTTTACCAATTAGAAAGCAAAATTTCACAGCTGCACACTGAAGATTGCCATCGTAAAAAACGAAACAAGTACGAAACAGCTCTAGCAAAAATAATGACTACAGAGGAACGGAACAAGCCAGATCGACAGCTCAGGTGGCACTGAACTGGTAATGAGTTGAGCTGTACGCCTCTAGGGGCAGAAATGTGTACTACACAAGCTCCGCCCACTGCAATGCTATTCCGGTTATTTTTGGGTACCTGCTCGTATATGTTCGTGGGAACCACCGTCTTTAGGCTGAAACGTTGCCACTTTCCGGACTGTTGCCGCAGGTTATGGTATTTCATATGAAATTTTCTAGGTACAATTTTCTTTAAAGGAAAAATGGAGTCTGTTTTTTATCTAAGAAAATTGCTGCAATCCTACTAATATGATATGGAATATATACGTATTATACATTATGACATAACTTGATGACGCAGTACTATATTCTGTATTATTTCTTTCAGCTCTGTATGAGGATAATGATGAAGACGACATAGAATTAGAGAGTCATGGTTCGGTAATTAGGCACCTGCTGTCCCAAGTAAAAATTGGTATGGACCTGACTAAAGTTGTATTGCCTACGTTTATATTAGAGAGGAGATCCTTGTTAGAAATGTATGCTGATTATTTTGCACATCCAGATATGTTCGTTAAGTAAGTAAACAATCTCACTTAGAATGTCACTGTCCGTCACTCCGTCTAAGAAAACATTGAAATTTGTCATAATGGGAGTTGAAAGATCATCACAGGTTATATATTTTTCCGATTTTTTTAAAGCCTATATTTTGAAAAGTACGGCTTATATTTTCTTTCTGATACATATTATGAATTGGTCTATCCTTGTTTCCGGCTTGACGTCGACTTCTGGGACACCCTGTATAAATATGCATCATATCTTCCTTCTAGGATAGCAGAATTGAAGGATCCCCGAGACAGAATGATCCAAGTAGTAAAATGGTATCTGTCGTCGTATCATGCCGGTCGTAAAAGTGCGGTAGCGAAAAAACCGTACAATCCAATCCTAGGCGAGATTTTCCGTTGTCATTGGGACGTGCCCAACGGGAACGGGGATGGCAAGGATGATCCTGTTGAAGATGGACCGGTACCGTGGTGTAAAAGGAGCCAGCTGACGTTTGTTGCCGAACAGGTGTCGCATCATCCGCCAAGTAAGTAAAGAAATATTTGATGTTCGATTTGTTGCGATTTTAGTAATATAGGGTGGCCAATATATAACTGACTGATTTAAATTGCGCGCCATGTTTGATACACGCATTTCAGTAGGTGACGCCGTAGTAGTTGTTTAAAGCACGTGTCTCGAATTCATCATGGAACGCTACACGATCCCACAACGCGTCCGTATTGTTAAAACGTTTTACTTAAATAATGAGTCGATTGCTGCAAGGATCCTGAAGCTACGACAATATTTTGGTCGAAATAAGGTGAAGTTAAAGACTTGCCAAGGTCGGGCCGTGTTCGCACTGTTCGTACTCCGGAAAATATTGAGAGAGTTCGTGAAAGTTTAGTGGAGCGCCCTGAGACGTCTACCAGACATCGTTCTCAAGAACTGGGTATTCGTCGCACCTCATTATACAGTACATTAAAAAAAGACTTGCATTGGCGACCATACAAAATTCAGTTAACCCAAGAACTACAGCCTAGTAACCATGAAAGTCGCCGACAATACAGTCATGCAATATTGCAGGTTGATACCCAAAATAACGATTTTTACCGACCAACGCGAGACTGTGAAATCCGAATATGGCGTCCATAAAAAATAACTTGATAAGAACAAAATTTCTGTATTTTTACAAATGCATTTCTTTTCAGTATCTGCCTTTTATGCCGAACACTACAACAAAAGGATAAGTTTCAATGCTCACATATACACAAAGTCCAAATTTCTTGGACTCTCTGTATGCGTATACAACATTGGTGAGGGTGTCGTCAGCGTTATAGACTACGATGAAGAATATGTTGTCACATTTCCTAACGGATATGGCAGGTGAGTAACTAATTTTGCGGTTAGAAAATATATTTAGAAATCATGATATGATAACAGATTCCTTTATTTTTTAATAAAAAAGCCATATAAGCATAGTCCGGAAAATTCTCCGTTTACATGGTGATTTACATTGTATAGCTTCTGTAGTTTTACATTTGTTAAAAAAAAACTTCTTACTCGACTACTATTTGTTGGTCAATGAAATTTCCTTAAGTATGATCAATCTGACTTCGGGTTACTTAAAACATAAACATAGAGCTAATGTAATATCAAAAATGTATTCTGTGCTTTTCGTACTGATAATCCTCCATGTTTGTCTGGTCGCTAAATGAAATCACTTATGTTTGAAATAATGTTTACTGACGACGACGCCTAGTTGTAGTCTTATAGGAAAACCTACATAATGATGCCATAAAAAACCTACATAATGTCAAAAAGAAACACTTTTCAAGTTTCGTAATACCTCTGCCGGACTGCCTGGGATAGACATTTTCGCTCTCAAAGGGACGTTCAGCCTCCCAAAACGACAATCGAATATGAAATTATCTGTCGTTTTTAACAAACACATCACCATCGCCCTTCACCCCGAAAACGCCAAAAGTCATACGAAAACCCACCCAGAACTGTTGTAACATACCGATTTATTGCTATGCAGTCTCTGACTACAAATGCTGCATGTTCAATGTTTGGCCTTAAGATACCGAAGTAAAACGTGCGGATTTGAGATCCAGTAACAAACCCTAAGAAAAAACTTGGAAGTAAAAAATCTATGTTCTATTAGCTGCTTCCAATAAATTGAACAATTTTTCAATCTTGAAGAAGTTGGACCGTGTACACATAAAAATTTCTGTCAATATCTTCACAACAATAAATTCATGAATACATTGTCAGATTCGAGCTTCTAATTTTCCATCAACTTTTTGTGGAATTCTAGTTACTTTTGGTTATTTTCTCTAAATACCAACAGAAACAATCAATTTGTAAGTATACTGTCATCTTTTTATTGGTAAGTTCATTATACATAGGTTATGTCAACCAAATTGGATCACAGTCCATATAGTCTAATCATATTAGCAAATTTCCCCGAAATAATAATAAAATGGGTACACCAATTTTTGTGGGAAAACTTTTTATTCGACAACAAAGAATGAGAAAACGTGTATTGGCAGGAACGAAAAAACTATTTAAATAAGATTTTTAGGTATTTATGAGGCCTACAAAATAAGACCACACGTAAAAAGATCCGACTAATAGTAAAAAAGTTATAGTCGAAAACGAAGGCAAATTGCGGGTTTTGGCACTTGTTGCTAATGCGACGATAAATTCACGTAGCTACTTGAAACTCTTCAAATCCTTTGCTTCATACTTCTAAATAACCATAACAAAACTGGAGTCGATTGGTCAAGTAGTTTTTGAGAATTTCTGATTGCCTTCCGGCCATCACTACTAGTTTACTGATCAATATACAGAGTTCGTTCAAAGGGCATTTTATAGCAAAATACATGAATTTATCTTGCCGACGTGAATCACAAACTATACCGAAAGATAATTGTTATTTTTATGCGAAAAACGAAGGGTTACGTTTTTTTCTTCTAAACAAATTCAAACATTTCTTATATGTGAGTAACTGAACAGATTCGCTAGGGTATTTGAAAAACATACGTTATTACAAACATTTTATGAAAAAAACAATTTTTTAAAGGTTTCTTCAAACTCTTATGTATACTTATTTAGAGATGAAATTTTTACACGGTCACAGATGAGCCTTAAAGTTTATAAAAAAAATATTCCATGCTGGAATGCGCTGAACTGTTTATAGAGTTAGCACGCAAATTGAAGACTCAATTATACTAAGTGACATATAAATCCGAACACACAGTTTAAATGGTTTTATTTTAATAAAAGTTGGTGAATGTATTTATCTTACTGTAAATAACAAGTGAAAAAATTTTCAGCCTTATCAGTTGGACATTCCGGTTTTTATACTGCTTTTTTTAATTCACTAACGCTCTAAAAATGAATATTTCAGCCGCAGTAAAGAATCAACGTTGGCGGATTTTGGTTCTTGACATCCTTTACGATCGGTTACGATGCCTAGAGTACGGAGACCTGTACGATTTCGTCAACTTAGTGAGTTTGATAGGGGCCGTATAGTGGGACTTCGGGAAGCTGGACTTTCTTTTCGGGCAATTGCAGTTAGAGTGCAAAGAAGTGTAGACACTGTGGTTAGGTGTTGTCAGGCATGGCTTCGAGAAGGCCGTACGCAAAGAGCACGGGGCACTGGACGCCGCCGTAGAACAACAGACCGTGAAGATCGCCGCCTAAGATTATTGGCCTTAAGGGACCGTTTCTCCACTACCAGGTCCATTGCAAATGAATGGTTTGCAGAACACGGAAGACCTATTGGCATGCGAAGTGTTTACCGACGAATGAGAAGTTTTGGCTTGTTTTCATACCGGCCACACTGGGTCCTCCCTTTAACTCGAGAACACCGACGTAATCGCCTTGAGTGGTGCAGACACCGTCACTCTGGGATCAGGAATGGAACAGTATTATCTTTAGTGACGAGTCTCGATTTTGTTTAGGCATGCACGATGGTCGTGCCAGGGTTAGAAGGCGACGTGGTGAAAGGAGGAATCCACAGTTTTTTGTTGAATGACATGTTCATCACACTGTTGGAGTTATGGTTTGGGGTGCTATAGCTTATGGATCCAGGTCACCTTTAATTTTCATCAGAGGTAACATGAACGCGCAGCGTTATATCCACGAAGTTCGAGAACCCCATCTTTTACCCTATCTTGACACCCTGGCAGATCCAACTTTCCAACAAGATAATGCCCGACCACATGTTGCAAGAGTCACAATAGACTTCTTTCAACATAATGATGTCACATTGTTACCATGGCCACCAAGATCTCCCGACTTATCCCCAATTGAGCACGTGTGGGATATGATGGGTAGGAGATTGCTCAGTTTGCAACGTCCTCCTCAGACTCTAGAAGCACTTCGAGAGGAGTTGGTGGTTGCCTGGAATGAGATACCACAGGAGGACATTGACCACCTGATCAGAAGCATGCCTAGGCGCGTTGGAGAATGCGTAGCACATCAGGGTGCATCCACACATTATTAAAGGTCAAAGGGCTTTAAAGCAGTGCAATCATTTTGAAATTTTTATCATTTACTTATTATGCTTCATTAAGTACTTATACAAAATTGTATTAAAATAAAACCATTTAAACTGTGTGTTCGGATTTATATGTCACTTAGTATATGTTTCAAACTGTCTTAGACTAGTTAGTATGTAGCATATGATAAATGGCTGCATTATTAATGGTTGCATGACTTTGTCAAATAAGTAGGTCACGTAATCCAGTTTCTTTACGAGGAAATATAATTCCCTAGACTTTTTTCTAAAAGTATTAATATAGTATACGTATGTTTTCGAAATCTCGTTCGATTAAAACTCTGCGAATTAAAAATTTTGGAAAATAAACTCGAGAAAACTAAATAACAGCCAAATATCTAGCAACTGTCGCGAACTGACCGTCTTAAAAATTAGGCAAATGCTCGTTATTAGTCCCTAATACATTGTTTAAAGATTCAGTATAGTTTTCAAGAGTACCTACTGTAATTGTTTATAACAGATTGGATATGCCTCCAACGTTCGCTTGACATATGTTAGTGTCAAGTATAGTGGTCTAAGGATCCAGTAAACGAAGAGGCGTGGTAGCGTAATGGAAATGATTTACGAATGCAGAACTGCAGGTCGGAGGTTCGTATCCACGAAGCTCCTTTTTCTCTATTATTTTTTTATTAAATTTGGAGAAATAAATGCTTTTTCACATTGTGTACTTTTATTATATATCATCTGAGAGAGGGACTGATCGTTGAAATATTATTCATGATATAGGCTGGTTCCTTTACCTCCCTTTTGTACTTATTATCCTCTTTATGTAGTATTTTGAGACTTCCTTCCAGACAAACATGGAGGATTATAAACATCGAGACTTACCGGAACGAACGCCACTGTAGTAAGTGCTTTGGACTATAATTTTGTTCATGTTAATGTGACGTTTGATAATACATATGTCTATACCAAGTATTTTCAATATGTCAATCGGTTTTAGAGAAATGTAAAGTAGGTTATCAGAAACGGACAATTTTAAACACTCTGAATTAAGAAAAGTTAGCATTTCCGGGTCCAATTTTCTTGCTTTCATATCTTAATGGGTTGTACCTATATTTTAGGTCCATATTAACAGTGCCATGGATAGAACTAGGAGGTACAGTAGTGATAGACTGTCCTAAAACCGGGTATCATTGTACAATAGAATTTATAACAAAACCTTTCTATGGCAACAAAAAGAACAAGGTATCGGCAGAAATATTTGCGCCTGATGAGAAGAAACCTTTTCTTACAATATCCGGAGAATGGAACAGTGTAATGGAGTATAAATGGACTGAAAGGGTGAGTCTTAAAATGTGATATTTATATTCAAAAATAGTGCATCCAGTAGATTGTCTCTATATTTGCAATCCTTCAAAACAACGTCTAGTAGTTCGTTGCAGTGCAATGGCATCAAAAAGACGTAGTTTTTGTCAAAACCAATAGTGCACTCCTTGGGCTTATCATGATAAAAACTTCACTCAGTTTGCAGCAATGAGCGTACCCGTACACGATAGTCCCATTTCTTTGAAGCCCTGGTGTAAAACTGTCAACAATGTTTGATAACTGATCATGATAGCTCTGGATACGTATTTATATAAATTATATACACCTGTCCTAAATTTAGAAAACTGACTTCAAGGTAATTTCAAGGTTGTGTGAATATTTTTCAATAGAGCTCCAATTTTTGGCATCGGAATCGCAAAGACGAGCAAATTTGACGTCTCATCATCTTTGACATGACATTGATCAAAAATAGTCGACAGCACAGTTGTGGGAATCACCCAACGGTGACCATGACATTCAAGGTCAAGACAAATTTTCCAAAGGAAACCTCCCATTTTTATTCTGTAAATGGAAAGCAGTAAATTTTACGCCTGAATGTAACCTTGATCTCAAATGATATTGAAGCTGAGCACAAATTCAGTTCGGTTCTTACTTTAATTATAACAATTTTTCAGCATATTGATTCTTTTTCAGGACATGGAAGAGCACATCGACGTGAACAACCTCAGCGTGATCAAGAAACAAGTGCGACCAATCAGGGAGCAGGAAGATAATGAATCTAGGCGGCTTTGGAAAGAAGTGACGGCCGGTTTGAAGTTCAATGAGATTGACAAGGCGACAAATGCTAAACAGGCCTTGGAACAAAAGCAACGTGACGAGGCTAAGGAGAGGAAGGATCGGGGTCATGAGTGGAATACTAGGGTAAGTTATTCAGTTTGGAAAATGCCGTAGTTCGGGCGGAGGTTTTATAACCCAGCTATGTAGAGCAGCCAGTGAATAACGATCGTTAACGGTCAAAGCATGACAAGAAGAAAAATACTTTACGTATATTTAACTTACAATTAAAACCGTAACTCACTTCGAACCATTTTTTATTTTAGCTTTGTACACGGTCACATGACATAAATAATTGGTTAATTTTTTAACATTTAATTTATTTAAATATGACAATATAATTGTACGGTGATGGGCGTAAAAAAATGAAGAATTTGCAGCCAGCATTCCATCGCGAGCGCAAAAATTTCAGCAAAGAAAAAATTGCTCATCTCCTGGCAAAAAAATGGCATCAAGTAGGTTGACTCTGCACTTCGTACGCAACGCTGTCATCAAATAAAGTTGCTGACAGGAGAAGAGACGAAACGTCATATTGAAATTCCAAGTATGCCGTCTTGTAGAGGAGAAAAAGTGGCAGTGTTAATGTACCTTTTATTTTGAAATCATATTCCAAATGAAGTGAGGAATAAATAAAAATGGTTTTGGGAAAATTAGGTTTCTTTCGTCTATCTGCCGACATACTTGGAATTGCGGAACTTTCTAAGTGCTATTTTCTTTATTACTTAAATGCCCCTATTTAACCAACATTTCTTGCCGTTTCCCAGATTTTAATGCTGAGAGATGAATTTGAAACACCTTGAGTATGAACGTGGAATGAAAAAAAAAACGGTTTACACTAATAATATTGGCAACAGGCTTCAACAATTCTGTTTGTTCCAGCTGTTCACGAAGCTAGGAGAAGATTCCTATGTGTACAAAAAACCTCTCCGTCAGAGGCTAAACTCGCAGACATCGAACACTTGAGATGGGGAACCGGCGACTGACAGTTGACAGATGTAAGTCGCGACGTCACACATACACACACCTACTGTGCTTTTCTGGACTGTGTTTACTAGAAAACGCCCACACACACACACACACACATTTTGTCTGAGTTGTTAGTGAACTGTGATATGAAACAAAAAATGGTATGCTTTAGGTTTATACCCTATGCAAAGTAGGCGGAATGACTGGTTTCACGTGACATTTAATTCATATATTTGCTGTTCTGTATAAATTTACCCAAGGTTCTAATTTTCTAATAGTTCAAACCTCGCCCAAATCAAATATTAAAATCGTAGAAATGATACACAGAACCAGAACAAATAGCAAACAAAAATATGGTCACGGTTCGTTCCTCATCTCCATAGGAGCCTTATATAGTAGTTTTACTTATCATAAAGATTTTTTTTTTGTTGTAAATGACAATGTAAAGACAACCTTGGAGCTAGACAAAAGGCAATCAGGGGCACCGTTCCTCCGTCCTACAGTTTTCAGGGCTGCCAGAATCTTAGGGATGAATTTTCAAAATGGTTTCTCGTTTCCTTGTTAGCTTAGTACTTTTCAGATCTTAGTACTATGCCACGAAAAACCAGCCAGGTCCGCTACTATGGTACGGTTGGACAACTGAAAAACGACTGGTCTAAAAACTAGAATAAATCGTTTTGTAGGGGTACCACCCAATCCAATATGGCAATTTCAAATCCTAATTTTATGCGTCAAATGATGAGCCGTGTTTATACAGGGTGTTTGGAATGTCGAAAAAAGTCTTGGTAGGGCAGACCATTTAGAGTCTTTTAAGCCAAACATACCTCAGTACAAAGTCTTACAGTTTTCGAGATTTTCGGATCTTCAAATTTAAATCATAAATTAGTAAACGAAACAAAATAAAGTATTGAAACATGCTTTATTGGTGTTCAAAGTGAAAACCATTGTTTCTAATACATGCTCGAGCTGTACGTGTTACTTCGGCAGTTTATATATTTTTAACTTGTCTTGCTGCATTAAATAAAAAGCCTCTCGAATTTTTCTTATTAAATGGTCTCGTGATACGATTTCTACAGTATAAACTAACAGTTTAGCCCGCCCCCAGACATAGAAATGCAATGTTGTCAAGTCCGGGGATCTAGCAGGCCACGGAATCGGTCCACCTCTGCCTATTCAGCTGTTTGGAAAAGTATCGTGCAAATATTGTCTTACGTCTAAGCGGAAATAAGCTGGACATCTGTCGTGTTGGAATAGAATTTGCATGTCATCTGGAATTTCTACTCCTACAAATAATTCGGGAAGATCATTTTGCAAAAAGGGTAGATATCTGTCGCCGTATAATCTTTCAGGCAAAAAATGAGGACCGATTAATCTTTGTCCTATGATGGCGGCCCATACATTAACGAAAAATTTGTGCTGGAAAGACGCCTGTTTTTCCAGTGTGGATTTTCCTGCTTATCAGTTCATTGATGCAAATTGTTAAAATTTGTAATGCCCTCCTTTGAAGAATTAGATTCGTCCGTCTATAGAATGCTTTCCAGGAACCGTTCATTCTCAATGTCACTATGTAAGAGAAAACGACAAAATTGGCTTCCGCGAATAGGATCACCATCTTCAAGTTTGTGTACGCCGATACCATGAAAAGGATATTTTCGTTCACGGTGCATGATACTCCAAACCTTCCATGGCGACAAACCAAGATCAGCACTAACTTTCCTAGTAGTTATAGTGGGATCATCTTCAAACGCTTGGAGGATTAGATCTTCGGCTTCAAGAGGATATCGACCTGGATTAACACCAGGTTCATTATGTGTTACACTTCCAGTCTCGTAAAGATGTCGGTAAGTATTGTAAAACACTCTGACATTAGGCAATCTTCTCCCAGGAAATCGCCTTTTGTACAACCGTCGTGCTTCTAGTCCATTACCATCTGCTCATACTCATTACCTCATACATGTAAACGATATCTGCGTATTCTTCGTTAATGAAAGTAGCCATTTTACAAACTAATTAATTCAGGGTTTATGGACTGAAATTCACGAATTACTATTGACTTGTTTGGAAAGAAATAAAGCAAGAATGTGTGGAATTTAGTTTTGTCATGCACGCAAGCACGTTCCTTCTCATCAGTATCACAAAAATAGGAAAACATGAATTTATTAGATATGTATTTGTTTACAGTCAATTTGTTTTTCTTTTCTCTACCTTCAGAGAAAAAACAACACTGTCAGGTATTTAAAATCTATTTCATATAGCCTGATGTTCTTTCAGTGATAACAGGAACAAAAGGCATATGTTTTCAATAAAAATCGAAAATCTCAAATAACTCGAAAACCGTAAGACTTTTTGGCTTAGAGATTCTAAATGGTCTGTCCTATCACCTTCCCAAGACTTTGTATCGACCTTTCTAACGCCCTGTATAAAACTCTAGATTCAGATTCAGAATATCAGTGATACAATGTTGCAATATCCAGTTTCTAAAGCGAGAATGTGACACCCCTACAATAAATAATAATTACTCATAGTGACTGATCAGTAATATGAGAAAAATCATATGTACCCCATACTGAGAACCTTTTTTGGGTTGAAGGATTCAAAAGATACGAGTTTAACGGATTGTTGGTATTGATTCCTGATATGGTTCCCATTAGAGTGATGGTATGCAAAAAAGGGACATTTTTTATCCATACTTAGCACGTCAGTCAATTCACCTAAATTAGGTTATTCTCCATCCACATCATGCAGTTTTGAATTCAGGTAGTCGCAATTACCTGGAAATATTTGAAAAAATGTCATTTACATCTAATGTAAATTTGCATTCCACTTAGAAGGGGTTATAATACATAAATGTGAGATTGTGAAAGGTGCATAAAATTTGTATGCAACAACAAATAACAATTCTCATCTAAAAACAAGCTAAATCTCGAAATTGAAGCTTGTTGATTTTTACCAAATTGAGTTATATATTTCCATTGGAAGATAGATGAATATAGTTCAAATTGTACAGTATTATCCACTTTTCAATACAGCCTTCCACCCAATGCCACATTGTAGTTAGAATCCAGCAATTTCAACATTTTTGAGTAGCTTGACCAAAAATTACAGCAATAAAAGTCACTTTATGTACCTGCAGGTTGTTTCACAACCTAATCGAAAAATTTTAACTACATATGCACTGTTCTGAAAGAAGTTGATTTCTCAAAAAAATGTAATAAGTCTTACAGAAATCGAGATAATAAAATAATACAGTTTAACAGTTCACTTACTTATAAAAGCTGTTCAAAATTGTTTCCACCTCCTTCCTGCTGTGTCTGAAGGCTCAAATTATCGGCAGCCACTGTGATTCGGACACGCATTTTTCCAATATTCTGAACTGGAGTACGATATACCTCGTTTTTCAAGTATCCCGATAGAAAGAAGTCTAGAGGATTTAGATCGGGAGACCGTGAGGGCCATGCAATTGGTCCACCCCTTTCGTATCTGGAATACCTGATTCAGACGAGAAGCCGCTCGCGAATTTAGACCTGCTTCTCCGTACGCTAAAGAAATGTCCACTAACTCCTCATTAGTGTACACATGTACCATTTTTATTAATAAATAACTAAAAACATAAACTCGCAAAATACTTACTTATTTAACTTCACAAAAATCGACCGTTCTTCATTCAGATCACCCACGTTACAGATTAAACCTTATTTACACGTTCTTATTAGTATGAAAAAAACAAAAAATTCCTGGTATTTTGTTCTCGTCAATTGTTTGATACAACATTTGCTACAATAAATTATTAATGCGTGTTCTAATATCACGACGATAAACGCAAAATACAGATATTTATTTTTCAATTTATTATTGAAACTTAGGTTTATAACTTATTACATATATTTTTTTTTTTTTGAGTAATCCACTTCTTTCGTAACAGTGCATATGTGGTTAAAATTTGTCGGATAAGCTGTGAAACACCCTTTATAATGCACACCCAAGATATTTTTTCAGATTTAATAATATAAAAAATAGTTGTAACAAAATATGTAGGTTTAGTTGATGATTTTTCAGTTATCCAACCTCATTGTACAGATATTTGTTTCTTTAGGGAAGCTGTTGCTTTTCCCACTAAAAATGCCTGTAAATAGTCCCCATTTTGGTATCTGAAACATGGGAAGCATTTATTGATTGGCCTTGTACAATGACGCTTCAAAAGCTAGCGTCGCACTTTGATACGGAGACAAGTGCTCCCGACAAACTGCTGACTAAAGTGTAGCAAGCGAAAATAAAAGGGTCATTCTAATGAAAGTTGTTATATCTACAGAATTTTATTGAGTTGGCTAATTTAATTCCTTATCTATTTTCCGGGAGCGGACGCATAGTGGGGGGAACTCAATCGATCGCCGCGCCCGCGCTGGACAAATATGGAAACATCATCGAACAAAAGTGCAAATATTTCTCTACCATCATTTGCCAGATCAAAAAAAAATGTCAGTTTGAAATTCAAATTGATCCGAACCGCAGATCGTTTAAATATCTGTTATTTCCATTAATATCCACAAGCACAAATAATTTAGTTCCGCGTTAGCTCACTTTTTAACGAAAAATTATGCAAAATTTGAAACGGTATGTGACATCTGTATACCCTTGGGTGTTTTACGATTCTCTTTCCGTTATTGTAATATTTGCAGTGCAGCACAGAATTGCTCAAATCCGAAAATATATCATTTAGTCGATTTTTAAAGGATACTGATATGTTGAAAAAGTGATTATATTAATGAGAAGAAGAAAGATTGGAAGTCCAGAGGTGTAAATCTGATAACCGCTATTTTACATAATATTACTACTAACAATTTACAAAAGAAGGGTTTTTCCAGATCTACTAACCTTAGGCAGTTCAAAAACAAGATTAACAATGTTTCTTTGGGATCCTCATATCAGCCCTGGCATTTAGGCTTAGCCAGCGCGGCTCCTTATGTAAAAAACTTATTTATTCTTGCAACTCTGTCACCAGCAGAGAAAATGTCGAGAAAACTCCGTATCAAAGTGCCACACTAGCGCTCTACACGGACATTGTCAGGACAAATACATTTCTTTGTAATGTAACTTTATTTCAATGTAAAATATTTTACGAATGTGCAAAACATTACGTTAAAAGTTTAATTTTAGAGTATTATTGTACATATTTTTTATTTGGAGTTGTATGTTATATACTTATAAGGTGTTCAGATATTTTCAAGGCCCATATTTTTCCTGAATTGAATAAAAGATACTATGTATTCTATGAGTTCATATGATTTATGTAAAATTTTATATGTAACTTGCCTCAGATTGGTAACTGGGAGTACAATCAATGATTTGTAATACATACTGACCTACTTCCATGGTTGATTCTCTTTATTAAATGATATGGAACATATCAAATCAGTCTCATAGTTTTATTTTTACACCTTCCACGACTTTAATAAGAATGCAGCTGATACTTCGAGAAATGGAGAAGCGGGCCTGAATAGGCGGATGCACATTTGCAGCTCATACATGAGTGTCTTTCTTGCCATTCAATAGTACTATCATTTCCTGTCATGAAAAACTCGTCTCGCCACGAGAAAAATGAACGACATTCCCTCCGTGAGAAATGCTTCCCACCAACTGACAAATATTCCGGGAGGAAAGATAGGGATTCTTTCCATAGCATAGTTCGAGGCGAAAGATTGATAGTTTTATTTTTCACTACTAAGCAGAAATATTGGATAATATTAATAAACCACGAAGTAATAATATAATAATAATAATAATAATAATCGTCTTTAATGACCAAAACATGGTACATTACATGGGGCGAGATTTAGCACCTGCTATTCCACCATCTAACCCTGCAAAGCATATCAAAACGTGAGTGAAATGCAAAACCTTGCGAATCAGGTTTTCGCGCAGTACGTGATACATCATTTGTTTCCAGTAAAATTTGAAAAATTGTTCGCGCATAAAGATTTCGGTAGGTTATGTTGACATTTTTCAATGCGCAGACGCTCTACGCCATGTTCTACGTCCACCAGATTTCCGAGAGACGCCATCCTTGGCGAGGATTGGATTGATACGAATACGTGTATCCCTCACCCAGTTTATCCTCCTATCTCTAGTCTTCGTGGCAATAACAAATTAATGTCACGTGTGTAATCAGAACCACAATGAATAATATGTGAAGTATCACACAGCCCGTGCGGCACATCTTAACATATCCTTACCCAATAACTATTTACTCTCAGTATTATACTTGAAAACAAAACAAATCTAAAGACAATCACACTAAGGAAACGATTGTCGAAATTCAGTAAATGCCCTATTTACTCAGGTGGGACCAGCGACTGAGCGCTTCCGCGCCAGACAATTTCATGTCAAATTTCGTTACGCCTTTTGGGCTCTAGCCCGTGAAGAAGTTATTTCGCGGGATAAAAAGTAGCCTGCGTGCTACTCCAGACTATAATACGTAGTCATGCCATAAGTTCTGTCCCTCGTTTTCAAACAAGTGTAGACCTGTTAATACTTGTCCGATTGTTTACATTGTGGTGTCAGTTGATTAAGCGCTTTTCGGGTAATTACATATACCTCAGTTTGTATTGATCTCTCGAAGCATAACGATGGAGTGGGGCAAGGCAGAGAACCGTATTGCAGTGATAGCTTTACATAAGTGTAATCACAGTGCTAGTCAGATTTTTGAACTCTTACGCGGCCTTCAAATATCGCGTAAATTTGTGTCTAGGACCATTCAGCGGTACAATGAGACGTCCTCTGTTGATGACAGGCCAAGAAGCGGAAGACCTCGTCAAGTAAGGACTCCAGCAGCCATCAAAGCCGTAAAAGCCAGGATTCAAAGGAATCCACTCCGGAAGCAGAAGATCCTATCCAGGGAAATGAAGATTCCTGTCCGGACGATGTCGCGCATCATTAAACAAGACCTAGGGCTAGGGGCTTACCGGAGACGTACGGGCCAGCGACTTACGGCCACCTTGCGACACATCAGGGCGACAAGATCCAAGAAGCTCTTGGAGAGGTACGCAGCTGGGGGATTCCGAAAGATTTTGTTCACGGATGAGAAAATCTTCACCGTAGAAGAAAAATTCAACCGACAAAATGACAAAGTGTATGCAAGGAGTTCACAGGAAGCTTCGGAGATCATTCCGAGAGTTGAGAGAGGCCACCACCCTGCGTCAGTCATGGTTTGGTGGGGGGTGTCCTACGAAGGGGTCACTCAGCTCCATTTCTGTAAACAGGGCGTGAAAACAAAAGCGGCAAACTATCAGAGCGACATACTGGATCCTATCGTCAAGCCTTTAAGTGGTACATTGTTTGCCAACCAACACTGGGTCTACCAGCAGGATTCCGCCCCCGCTCACAAGGCTAAGAGTACGCAGCGCTGGCTGGAAAGCAATGTGCCAGAGTTCATTGCTGCGGAAGATTGGCCCTCAGGGAGTCCGGACCTCAATCCTTTAGACTACAAGTTGTGGGACCTGCTAGAGCAGTTGGCCTGCTCCAAAGCCCACCGTAATATCGAGTCCCTGAAAGCGGATTTGATCCGATCAGCGGCAGCTATTCCTTTGGAAGCTGTGCGTGCAGTGATAGATGAGTGGCCCGCGAGATTGAAGCAGTGTGTGAAGGCCAAGGGGGGACATTTTGAATAAAACTGTTTGATTATGAATTCTAAAAATGTTGTCGAATAAATAATATCTTTCATATAAATATATCTTATCTTGTTTCATTTTTATCATGAGATTATCATGGGACAGAACTTATGGCACGACTATGTATATCTGTGCCAAATTTCATCCAGATGCATTCAGCCATTTTGACGTGATTGAGTAACAAATATCCACATTGCTTTGGCTTGAGTTCTACACCCGAATAATGGTTTTATTTTGGGCGTACACATTTCTGGATCGCGAGTTGTGTCAATTCTAGATCAGTTTTAACAGTTCTCCGATTTTGTGTGGAACTGAAGGTTTGGGATCGCCACGGACATGGCCATACATCCGGATACGGATGTAACCTGTGTCTCTACTTTTGTAATTGCATATGTGCATTCATTTCGGCACTGATGAAGCCAACCAGCAGAAATACGTATCGCTCGGGTTACCTATAATATTTTCTGCTCGAATCCACTTTTTGCGGATTTTGCCCATTATTTTCCTATTTTTGTTATATACCTTTCTCCGCATGATAATTTTCTCTTTGTAGATCCTTTGGGCTTGAAGTACCACAGCAAGTGGCTATAACCGGCCGCGTGGTTGTGGTTATTTGTCGCCTTGAAAATTCGAGGTATTCTAGCCATTTTATACTACAATGTGGAGGTTGGCTCTTGTTGTGGACTTCGTGTGTCTTTTTTTTCCTCTCCATCTTTGTTTCCTCAGGTTACACCCGTATCCGGATGTATGGGCATGTGTCTCTACTTTTTTAATTGCTTATGTGCATTCATTTCGGGCCTGATGAAGCCAACCAGCAGAAATACGTATCGCTCGGGTTACCTGTCAACTGGATTTGACGGTTTCAAACTGTTTGAAAATCGTTTCTCAAACATGCCTAATGTGTTCCCGCCTTGACCGTCAAAGCAAAAACACTGGAATGCAGGTGTAGGCTATCTCGTGCAGCTCGTGAACATTGGTAAAACTGGATATAATGGAGGAGTAAATGAAAACAGAGAATTAAAAATATTATAGTCAGCACCACCGCTCGATTAGCGATGAGCAGTATGGTTTCCGAGACCAGCGAATGTCTGAGACCATTTAGATTACGTCGCACAACTGTGGAAATAGTTTGTTAAGGATTTGGTGGGACTATCACTGATTTTGATATTACAATAAGTACTGTCGATCAGCCAAGGAACACTGTTTCCTTATGCAATCTTTCTTCCTACGGTCAGCGAGACTTTCTGGATTGGTGGTTAGCTTCGTTTCTGATTGTAAGATATCCATCATTTCGTCATTCCACACTGTCATCAAAGGTGCTTCTCAGAGATCAGTTTTGTCTCCAACTCTCCAAACAAATTTCTTGGTGCCCAACACATGTTTGCTATGTTAACACCTACAGGGGTAGATTAAAAGAAACAGTGTATTTTTTTCAGAATACTATATGTCTTTTCAATAAAAAATGTAAGTACATTTCAAATATTCAAACGTTCGAACTTGTGATTTTGCAACTCCGGAACTTCGACATAATCGTCTGTTTCCCACTCTTCTTCATTCATATAGATTCTTTCATTATCCAAAATTTTCATAAGTGGCTTTCCCTTTGAGCTCAATGAAAAATAATCCCTGACGTGTTGAGGGATATTTTGGTCAGGCTGCGCATTTTGCAGAAGATGGACGTCATCAATGCCAGAAGCTTTCGTGAAGTGAAAATTCTAAAAAAAAATTGTAGTAGCTCCAGAAATTGAAAGTACTCTTAAATGTTTCCGAAGCTCTGGTAGACTTGAGCAATGATAAAAATTCATTTTATTAGGAAATTTTACATAAGCGAATATCACATGATCAATATTTACTAGACTGAGCGTCAGTAATTATTGATGTATAAGGTTGCGCAGAAATCCACTGACACATGGAATGAACAGTAAATACGGTTGATACGGACCATAGTAAATATTGATCGTATGACATTCGCGTATGCGATTTAATAAGTGAAAAATTTCTTTGACTTCGCCCAAAGGTGATCAGAAATAAAACAATTTCGAAAAGCCGAGTCTGAGTCAGTCTTGTCAGGTTCCATAACTATGGGAAATATATGATATAAGACTTCTCTCAGCCCTTACCTCTGGTAAGCAATGATGTTGCAAGCAATAATAATTCATGCTGTTTTCCCGGTGACACCACGTCCCGTCAGGAAAATAAGAAGAAACTCCCAAATCGTTCAACTCAATTCGTGGTGTATAAAATGTACCTAAATCTTTATTTTTGCAAAATATCGCACATCCCATCCACAAACGATCTGCAACGAAAAAAATACAATAAACTCTCAATGATATGGTATACGCGGTGACGATTCTTATAAGGCGGACTCTTTCTAACATACGTGTCGCATGGCTCTACACGCTTCTCTCTGAAAGTCAAGTAGAGGTAAATGAATTACACTGTATCAACGCTGTTCAACGTCCGACGTTTTGTCTTGCAGAGATTAAGTAATGTCTGGCAGCTCTGGGATCTTACTAAATAATTTTTGTTTATGATGGAACGACTATGAAGCGGAAGATTAATGCGTCAGCTATAATTTTTAACCACATCTGCATCTTGGTTAGAAAATTCCAAGTCGCGCAGGCATAACCAATTGCTGATCTAATAATCATCTTGTATAGCTAATTCAAACTTAATTTAGAGAATCTACATAATAACGGATAAAGTTGGTAAAAAATAATTTTGGAATTTGGTTTTCAATGCTGCTGTATCTTTCGGCCAGGACATGCTTAACTTTGTTACCTTCTTCATGCGGTGCTTGTAATCCCCCACCATCTGGATCTAACTCGTCCAGCAACTGAGCAAACTCTCTACATTTGTCGCTAGCATAATTCACAATAGGTTGCCTTTTAGCTTTGCAGATCTGAAAAAAAATGAGGATCAAGGCTGAAGAGGTTCACTGATGTACCTGCAGTATATTTTTTACCCCCTGACCCTAAAAGTTGTTTCCCCTATTTCTATGGCAATCTACGCCGCATCAAAACAAACACGACCTTCGGATCGTCAAATTCTCATTCCCTACAGCCAGTAGGCTGGATACGCAACAAAAGGCCAGTGCCGATTGAACAGCGGGATTTGGGGGGCGCGAATACCACTTGAATAAGTGATAATTGTCATCGGAGATACTCATTAAGCCTGTGCAGCCTAGTTCTGGGATAGCCACAAATTCATAGTCTATTTACCTTTTTCCAGGTTGTATTTTGACGTTACCACAATAATTAGTGGTTGCCTTCGATGTAGGCTTTTTATCAGTAATGGAATGGTTGTCAAAAAATAGCTTAGCTGGTAGGAGCAGCAGGTATAGTCATATGGAAACCTTCAGCTTGCGACATGGGACTTTGTACATAACAAAGATTATTTTATCGAATTTCATCAAATAACATAACTATAATATAAAATGAACGATTTTTTAGTAATAAGATAAAGCTCTTTCCGCAAAGGTTTAAAGTTATTAATCATCAAACATATTTCCAATAGTAGTAATATGTATTACCTTCTTGTCGCTGCAAAGTTCACGTTCCATACTTGAACCAACACATCCTTCATCAGAGTTCACTGGCTTTGGGTTGTTACAAAATCTTCTTTTTATAGAATATCCCATGGATTTTTCTATACATCCAGACTGACATTCGCCCCGTTTCCAAGGACCCCAACCTCCAGGTTTGCTACTAAATGGTTTTGGAAGTGTTTTCTCAATGCAGTCCCCACCTTCACAATACTAAAATCAAGAATTCTGATAGGAAATCTGTCAAAATAAGGAAGTGCAAGCATAAACTCATAATTGAACTTAATGTGGATATGCAAACAGGAACTTTTCGTATCATTATTTTTCAAATAAGTCTTGCAGTAAAATTCAAGAAGCAGGACCAAAAAGGTCAGATTTTTTATAAAGTTCAAAAATAGGATCATCTTAGAGCATGTCACTACAGACCATCACAAAAAAGCAGATCAATAAGCACAGAAAAAATCCAAAAACCTGATGAGCGATCTTGATCATATTTTGTCAAGTCGTGAACATGCGAGCCATCATGCAAACACACGTATGACAAGGGCCCACTCCTTTTCCCTAGCTACGCAAAAATTAGATGAGAACATTTTTTTACAAACATTAAATCATTCATGCACAGGCTTCTCCACAAGCTGAATCATCATCTATTAGATGAGAAATTACTGAAGTTAATTGAAATCTACGAGCCCCTTCCCACTTCAGTTGGCCCAACTATTAAAATCTTGTTTTTTTTCTTATCAAACACAAATAATAAAAATGTAGCAGGGTGTTATAGGTTTAAAATATTAACAATGAATATTTTGATAATATATAGTAGAAAACACCAACATTATCACTCGCTAATAAAATTTGCAGCATAAAAATAACACATGTTGCAATTACAGCATATCAACCTATTTTCATTTCAATGCAAAATAAGTCTATAACGCATAGGTGGCTGTGAAAAATAAAAGCCATGACAATTGTTTTATTACTCACAGCTGTCAGAATACGTTTAAAATAGTTTTGGGTAGTTAAGGTTTTCAAAATGGGTAGAGGAAAGGTTATTAGTGAGAAAATTTGGTTACTGATAATTAATTTTTTTAATTCTGGGAAATCAAACTCAGAAATTGCAACTTTGTTAGACTTATGGCGGTACACTGTGAGAAATATTGTTAGAAGATATAACGTAACTGGATCAGTTAATATTAAGCCACGATATGTGAAAAAAAATAATATCACAAATGCCGACAGAAGAGCATTAAGAAGAATAATCGTGAAAAACAGGCGTACCAATTATTTACAATTAAGTGCTCTGTGGAGTGACGCTGTTGGAAGGAGAATTTCGAGGTCCACAACTCATAGAGAGGCCCACAAACTGGGATTTAGCACTTGCAAGGTAAGTTTTCTTATAAAAAAAGTGAAGCAAAAACCCTAAAGTTGCACAACTTGTTTATAGGCCAAAGAAAAGCCACTATTAACTCCACTGCAAAAGAAAAATCGGCTTAGATGGGCTAAAGAACATAGACAATGGACACCTCAACAATGGTGTGCAGTACAATGGAGTGATGAGGCCCGAATCGAAGTTTGTGTTGGTGAAAGTCGCAGTAGAGTTATTCGCAAAAAAAATGAAGCATTCCATGTTGACTGTCTGAAGAGAAAAGTGAAATTTCCAGCATCCATTATGGTCTGGCGCAGTATGCCATCAAAAGGAGTAGGAAAACTTCATTTTATTAATGGAAATGTGGATACAAACAAATATTTGGCAATTTAAGAAGAATACTAGATTTTACCAGTGATGGAAGAATGTTTGACATCCGGCCAAGATTTTGTGTTTTAGCAAGATGGTGCAGCGTGCCATACCTCAAAAAAGGCTATAAAAAGGATGGAAGAATATAATGTACCACTTTTGAAATGGGTTTCTAGCAGTCCAGATCTGTCACCTATTGAAACTTTGTGGCACGAGATGAAAAAGGTTCTACGACAACATTCTGTTCAGATGTTCTATTACTTATAGGTCTAAGTGATTTCAAATATGTATTTTTTATGACTAGAGTGTATCTAAAATGTTTTTGAGAAAATAAATTGTTTTAGAAGTAAGTAGTTTCTTCATGTTTAGTTTATAAAGGCATATTTTGGTACAAATCTTGAAGTGGGCCAACTGAAGTGGGAAGGGGCTCGTATGTTAGATATAAACTTCATTTTGCTAAAAGCATTACCTGGCAAACGCCATAAAGAATGTACCTAATATGTTAAATTAAATGAATGAGTACCCTGTTTGAGTTTTGGGGGATGTGAACGTCCAAAAAAATAGATATATAAAATGTGCGGATTAGCTAACATTTGCCATATATTATCTCAAATGTTGCTTTGAAGTATCGCAAATCACTTACTTGAACAATATTTGCTTGCAATTATCATGGAAGACTATATATTTGGATAAAACAATTAAATACAAATATAAAGAAAAATATCAAGCATAGTTAAGTGGATACGATTTGTGGAACTTCTACCACAATTTTTTTTCAAAGTGTTCCCCCTCCCTTACGTTTTGAGCTGGGTACGCCCTTGACGGATGATGATGTACATTTATGGATTTTTCAGAACCATATGTGTGCCTAAACTGACTATAATAGATATATTTCTAAACACATATTAGGTACATGCCCTTCTTCGCACAAAACGGATTTTTATCGTGAATTTATGTTGAGAATTGATGAACATATACATTGGACAATACCTTAGTCAATAGTTATAATAAGAGAACATAACGAATATTATGTTCTAGCCTAATAGTAAATTGTTACCTTCCCATTGCCACATTGAGTTCCCTCCAGAGCTGGTCCTGCGAAATAATAACCACTTCTGTTAGGTGTCTTGCACTGAAGGTTGTAGCAAACGGTAGACAGGTCCTGATCTGGTAGTGCAACTGCGTCTTTATCCCGTAGCAATATCTCACACTGCTGTTTAGCAGTGTACATTTGGCCTGGATTGTTCAAGTATCGACTGTGGTCCATGTGTTTCTTGGGTTTGGCGCTATCTTGAAGACATTTTGCCCACCTACAGGAAAAGATTGAGTCATTTTCATTTATGTTTTTTCAATTCAATTTTTCAGTAATTTTAAAGGACCGTACAATACTTCCTTGCCAGTGGCGTGGGAAGTCAAATGGACAAATTTTCCAAAATTTTACTGAATGACGTTTCTCCACTTACAATCTTTTTTAGAGACGATAATCCGTGAGGTGAGATTTTGTAACTATTCGTTTCGAATGTTTTACCAAAAACCTACTTACTTCAGGTCAGCCACAACATCGGCACTACATGTAGACCACTGTGTCTCCCCATTCGTTCCTCTAGAAGGTGACATGATATATCCTTCTTTGGCACAACTGTTTCCGCTACTATCATGATGCATCCCTAAACTGAAAAAAAGTATAAACATAATGTATATTCCACCACTGACTGTTGAAGAACACTTACTTGTGACCAATCTCATGGGCCAAAATATAAACGCTCGTGAATCCAGCACTAGGATAAGGTTTACCTAAGGCATTTGTCGTTCCAAACTCTGCTATAACGCACGCATATGTATTTGAACACACGCCTGCTACAGGTGCTAGTCCCATAGTAACACCACTCTTCCTACCTTTCTCAAATGCATAAAAATCCAACCTACAATGTGAAACAACAGCTATTTTGGTGAGTATTCGGGTATAAATCAAAGGATATTCGTCATATTTCGGGTTTCGCACTCAATCTACAAGTTATTCTGGAAAATGACTATGTAAAATAGCAACAAAAAGGTATTAAAATAATTGAATAAAAGTACTTGCTGTTTATTAAATAGGAAATTACGTACCGGCTTATCTCATGATGCTTAAGTTGTGCTAGAAGGTAAAAACACAGTTATGTTCTTCTGTAATTTGCGACATTCGAGGCTGTCTAGGTCTTCTACTGTACCTACCTATAAATGGCCTTTTTGCGAAATAACAAATCTACGTGGCGCGGCATAAAAACGTCTAGGAGAACGATCTCAATACACTCGCAAAGTATGAGTAGCCTGATGAAGATAATCACCGTAAAATAACATTTCCCTTATTGCGGTAAACATGTGCCATTTTCGGTTTTCAAGCTGCGATTTATAAACAAAAGGCTCAATATATCTACGCGGTATACGACAGTATATTTTCATTTAATCATTTGCAGGAGGCATCATCAGATTTTGTTTTCTGTGATACTATCGATAAATTTATATGTAGTTACCCTGAAACATAGAGTGCCATATCCCAGTGGTCTGGATCCCTATCTGATTCAGGGTTTAGATCTTCCTGATATGCGCAAAAGCTGTCCAATAGCTTTCCTCTCTCTCCATCATGATGCGGCAGATCTCTAGGTTGGACCTTCATTATATCAAGTCTTACTAAAACAAGATCAATCGTAGCACCTAGACTAGGATGATGGTAGAGCGCTTGAACCTGTAAAATTATCGAATTACTGAAATTCGAGGCAGTGACAAAAAAGCCACAAAACTGTACTGGATAAACTTAAAACATCAGTTGTAACCTTACGAGGGTAGAGTGATATGTTTCTGTTTAAAAATTATTCCATTATCTTATATAATTCTCTTTATCCAACAACGTTTCTCCAATATTAAAATTCCTTTTTGGAAGTGGAAGTCTGAGAGGCTATCAAAATATTATGCTATACTGCTCTCCACCTCTTTATCGGGCCCAAAATGCTTTATAGGAAGAAATTTCAAATTTAAGAACAGATGGATGTCAGAAGGATGCCAAATCATAAGAAGTTTTCGTATTGTTAACACACTTTTGCGAGCATGTGCGTTATCCTGTTGAAAAATGATCTTCTTCAAGCCAGGCCACCTCCCATGAATTTTGTCATTCAGTTGATCAAAGAGGTTGAAATAGTATTCGCCCGTAGTTGATCTACCATTTTCAAGGTTATAAATTAATAGAATCCCTTTCACATCCCAAAATGCGCTGACCATAACTTTTCTTGCATAATATGCAATCGACATTTAAAAATTTCAAAAAAGTATCATGATACATCACATAGTTATTTATATCATCGCGTAGTACGACCTGTTGTACAAAGCTTCACAGTAAAACACAAAGGGCAAGTTGTGACACATTTCACTTTATACTTTCATCATAATAAAGTGAAACTATTGATTAACGTGTTTTACCTAAAGACAGGCAGTCACCCAACCTAATGCTATATTCCCGCATCCAAAAAAATATCTGAGATAACATGAGATACCGTAGCCTTATCTGTAAAAACTTGTCACAGCTGTTCTCTGTTGGCTATAATTATATACTTTGTAAAGGTTAGCGTCCCACAGATGGCGCTGTAGCTAAAACTATACGAACATATACGAGGTGGCTACAGCGCCATCTACGAGCAACTAACTTTGTCCAAGTATATAATAGTAAATAGGAAATCAGCTGACACAAATTTTCACTGCTGGCGCTACGGTATCTCATTATCTCGAATAATTTTTGGACGCAGAAATAAAGCCTTAGGTAAAATACGTTAATCAATGGTAGAATACATGACGACAATAAAACTTTATACAACAAATTATACTAGTATATCATGCGATGAAAGAGTTTTAATAAGCATAGCCGACTACAAAACTATTCATTGTAAGATTTTGTGGCACGCTTTCTGTTACGGACTCAGTCATATAAAAATTTTATAATTGCAGAAATACATGTTACCCCATTCAAATATGCTAGCAGCATATCTCGCAACCTATTATCGTTATAGTCCAAATGTGGTGCAAATATTTTATATGCTGCCTCGTCAAAAAACATTGCTAGTTCCAGAGTCATTTTATTAGTTGCTCTTGATGTTAGCAGTTCTGATTCTATATGGCGATTGTTCTCCCTACAACCACAACAGATTTGGACATGAAAATAATAAGGGTTAGGACAAAATATCGAGTTTGTTGCAATGACGGAACTTCAAAATTGAAAACGACAAGATCTCATTTTTAGTGATTGAAACTATAATATTTCAGGTCAACACAATTACCTGTTCAGTCTGTTGCGTCTGGAAGTATCTTGTGAATCTTCTTGGGCATCTGTCCAGATTCTACTACTTGAAGGGTATCCGTGATCATACAAAAAACTGGTAGAGAAGCTGGCTTTTTTTACCAAATGTGGGTTTTTTGTAGGACTATAGTTATTGAGATCATCCTTGATCCTTAGGATTTGCCGTAATCTATCTGTTAGTGGCTTTATTTCGAAGGTTGAATTGTCCAAAAATATCAAACCATCCTAAAACCAAATAAATTTCTGTAGATAAGTGAACTTCAAAATATAGTCGAAATTGGGTATGATGAGAAAAAAGTGTCATAGGAGCCACCGAAACATATAGTCTATGTTCAACAAGAAAGAAACTCGTCAGACTTTATAAATACAATACTGGTTAATGTGGTATGAAATTTGATTCTTGCTAGGGAAAGTACAAATTTTTATAGAATTTTCATAGATACAGTTTACGAAGCAACTACAAAAAAATCTTGGTAGGAGTGATGAACATATCTCGTCAATATTAAACGGTGATAAATCGTTAGATTCTGAATAGTGTCGCATAAAATTTGAAGTTTGGGAGAGAAAATGTTGGTTTTTATATCTCCATTGTTACATTTTACTGCATTTTTTTTCTAAAAGAAATGGTTTTCGAGACGCCAAGGGTTTCGGACTTTAACAGAATTCGTCGGATTGCTCACGCTCTAGGAAAACTACCACATTCCATGGTGATGCTATTCGTTTTAGTAAACCCCAAGTTTTTTAGGTACAGGATATATTTAATTGATGGAAACATATGAGCTTATAAGTTTTCACATACTTATATGTACTTACCACTGTTTTTGATGAACAAATACTAATAGCAGCTGTTATATCATCTCCTTGATAGAAGTAGTTGCAATTTTCTATTGGTGTAGATAGTTCCTCAATGCTGTTCTTGTCATGGATGTATGTTTTGAACACAGGTGAGAGTATCTTAGAGTTTTTCTTCAATTTAAGGTTGATACGTCTAACAATTAGATCAACATTCGAAATATAACACACAACACACAAAAAATAGGCCAGGTTGACCACATTGGGGCGGGTTTTTGTAATCCGTTCTGCTGTTACACAAAAGCTTTGTATAAGTCAGTTTTCAATGTTTTGATGAGAGAATGAGTTACTAATCGTATAACAGCAAACAGCAGATTTTTTGATCAGAATAAAAAATCTGTCGAAAATAATAAAACATAGACCTACCTTGTTAAAACAGAAAATTCGTAATCAATTTCTTCAACACCTTGCCCTTCCGAATCAAAAGCTTCGTACACTGGGTATGACGTTGGTAAATCAACAATTTCGTATTCAGGAACTAAACTTTGATCATCGGTTTGAAAATAATATTCTAGTTCATTTTTCGTCATATCGTCATGAAGTCTTTCTCCAGAAAACTGGTAGCAACCACTTTCTTCAAGCAATATAAATAGAACAAATAGCCACATTATTATTTCTAATGTTTGAAATGTTGATGTGTTGAACTTTTATATAACAGAGTATCACATGCTGGTAGGTTTGAAAAATTCATGAACAATTTGCGAAGGGATTATCACAATGTAGATGACCTGCATGATTGATAATATGGTAAATAAGCCTTTCAGTACAAACAAAATGGGCAAATGCATAAGATAATTAAGCTTATCTCAATATACACATATGTTACAAAGAGATAGAAGGCGCCTGGATAGCGAAGTTCGTTACCGCGTTGCCTAGCAACAATGACGCGGCAATCTTTCGCTTTGTCAATATGTTACACCACTTCGTTGAATTAAAATGCATATTGAGAATATGCGTTAGTTTATTCTTTAACCCCAAATAATGGTTTTATTTTGAGCGTACATATTTTTGGATTGTGTCGAATCTGTTTAGGATTGATTCCCGATAGGTCGTAACGGCACTCCATTTTAGGTCAATGGTCATGATCGCATCAAACTGCAACGTTACATCATTGGTTCGTTTGATAGCACCGCATCTTGTACATTCCCAGGCAAAGTTTCCAACTCTATGATCACAGTTGGGCGATTTTGGTCAATACCCATCTAGCGCTCGTAGGGGTGTGTCGTCCTGCTTCTAAATGGCTTTCACCTGCGTACACGCAGGCAGTGATGTTTATTGCGTAACGTTATTTGTTAAATTTTCCAACTGCAGCGCTGACGCAAAATGTAATAACAATGAATCAGGATATGTTGATTTTATCGGTGGAAATCAAAGATAATTCTAAAATAAAATAAAACAAAACAAAACAAAAAACGCTAAGGCGCATAAAAATTGAAATATATAACTCTAATCAAAATGAAAAGAAAATATTCAATTAGTTGTTTGAATAGACCTCCTTTTTGGGTTTGACAAACTATTGTAGCAGCCTGTGCGCACATTTTTCTGGTGTAATCATATTGGAAACGTGGCAGATTGCACGACCTTTGCTCTTCAGCAGGCTTCTATCTCTTTCTAACATGTGTTGATACACACTTGTCTCTCTTACAGATTGAACTCAAGCCGTCAGACAAATTTGGTTTTCCCTGTATGGTGTTTAAAAATGAATCGCAACTTCATCATCTAAGCTTGGTGCTACGTCTACTACGAAGGAATTCTAAGGGAATGGGTGGGAGGTAATCTGAAAAGCTAGAAGCACATGGCGCTAGTTAGGATGGGGGTCATACTCGCCATATCTAAGGTTATGAACAGACACACATGTCATCCTAGGGTTGGGCATTCTAGGCACCTTCTAGTACAATAAGTTAGTCAATGCTTCTAGTAGAAAAACAGATAAACTTCATAAAATATATTTATCTTTTAATCTTCACAACTTTATACAATCGTCATCAACATATTCAATAATAAGACTATCACCATCAACAATTATATTGTCCTCTAAAAGTGCACTCAGATTAACTGACATGTTTTGTGTCAGTATTTCTTTGTCTTCTTTCTTAAACAGCCTCAGTTTTTTCTCACCACTCTTGTTATTATTGTTCTGTAACTTCATTTCATCAGCAATGCTATCAATAGCTCTCCCTAGTGACCACTGATTTGAGACAAAAACTGCTACTGCTTTCTCTGTATTACCATCTATTTTTGACACACTGAAGTATAGCCTATTCATTTGGGCAATTGACTTGACTCCTGTTGCTTTTCCCTTTAACTTCATTAGTTGGATCTTATTAGCTGTAGCACGGTTTTTAGGTTTCTTTTTGGCAGCATCTAGTTTTGATTCAAGCTTGAACAAAAACAAATAGCATGAAGTAAAAAACACAAGCTGCTCATGAGTAGATCATTGCAGGTACATGATGATTTTGTATATCTGATTTTTATTTGCCAAACTTAATTTTGAGGATCTACATAAAATAAGAAGTAGTTGCTGGAATGAAATTTAGAATGTTGTTTTCAGTTATTTGGTGCTAAGCCCTAGCCCTAGATATTTGGCTGTTGGTATCAAAAAGTCACTCACAGTAATCTCTTACAGGGCACCACAATGTTTTTTCTAAAATAGATAGCTTGTGTCTTAAAAAAATTAATTTTGGTTTGCCACTGACTCATCCACTCTAAAACTCATCCACCTCTTCCTGTAGCCTGTCATGGACTATGTCATAGACATAAAGATAGACTGCTGTCATCAGCTCAAGGTTAGTATGCATGATAGCAACTCAAGATCGTATCAAGGTAACTTCCAAGTTAAGTGACTAAATCTAACTGGATGCCATACACTCAAATTCAATAGATGTCAAGTATGGCATGTCATATAGATTTTTAAATTGGCTGGGTCTGAGTCGGAAGCTAGTTTTGTCAATTTAAAAGTCATAATTTCAATACAAGAATCACTAAAAATAACCAATCAATGTTTATTAATACACTAGATCTACACTATTGTAACATTGAGATAACCAACATCCTTCATATATACAATTTATTACCTGTATCTCAAAAGACAAAGTTATGATTGAACCACAAATATAGGTTCTCTATGGAGCCTTAAGATCAAGCAGAAAGAAACAGTGATATCTAGAGACTTTACCTGTTTATCTACAATATCCTTGACCTCATTAAACCTCCTAACAGGTGCAGCATATCGTTCTTTCTCAGCAGCAAGTTTCTCAGCACTTTTTTCTTCACAACCTGTTAAATGCCTATGTTTGATGCAGAAATGTTTATGACACCTCTCACAAACCAAAGGTACTACACTCCTTTCGTTGCAGTTTGAATGTGAACATACAAATACATTTTCTATCTGTTTGAGCTCATCTTCAGTAAGATTTTTTGAAACCTGGCAGATCTGTGTATGGACTTTGAAATGATCTGAACAGAAAATTTGCCCGCATTTGCAATTTAGTGGCAGAAAATCTAGCTGCAGACACGTAGGTTCGGCACATTGTTTTCCTAGTGAAGGCAATTCCATATTTCTAATATTTTTATTAACGAAACCCCAATTTTCAGGTATTGTTTTTGTTCCTCATTAATATTTTTAGGTTATAATTGTTGTCACTGTCAAGTAGTCCTGTCATCTTTCCCCGAGATATGTAAAAGCAACCAGCTCTACAGTTGTCTATCAAGTTGTCAGCTATAACAAATAGTTTCACTAATAGATGTCGCTCTTGTCAACCTCACTGTATGGCCAGACTAATTTTTCGGATTTCTAGATTTCTACCTAATTGTGCATACATCGTATTTTCAATACTAGGCCACCATGTTTGGAAAGCACAAGCCATATTTATCGTGTTGTTATGTGTTGTTCATCAAAAAGAAAATGGCGTCAAGTACCTTGATTCTAAACTTGCCACGCATCGTCGTCATCAGTTCATAAAGGATTACATTCAGCACAAATTAGACCCTATCGAAATAAGACAACGCTATAGACCTGATATCCTGGATAAAGGATGGTTGGTATGCTTTCGTTCGTTGTCTCAGAGACCAAGCCTATACCGAGCTGATGAGTTTTCAAAAAAAAGACGAAAAAAAGTTAGTTACGAACATATATAACAGAGAGATTGAATGGATCAAGTCCGTCAGACAGGTCCGTACAATTAGTCCATAACATCCTTTACCTGTCCTACCCGTAGTATTGTCGTTCATCTGGCAACGTCGCATATATCTGATGATATTGAAGCTTGATGCGTCACAGGCGGCAGAGCGCCCGCAGAGCACCAAACATGTAGGACACGTACGAATAACGGCACGCCGGCCGCAACAGTCGAAGTCAGCAGACGCACCCCTTTAACTATCTTCAGGCACCAGATGTTATAGACTTCGCGATATCGAGAAACTGCGGTTTCCGTGTTTCTTCTAGAGTTCTGTATGACTTCTCAAGCGATCACCTTCCAATTATTCTTGAGGTGGGCACTGAGGATACCTTGGACAGGAAGGCCTGCTCTAGGAAACGAGTCGATTGGGAACTGTACAAATCGCTCTTGGCCGAGTTTCCTGATATCCTGATTATAGTTGACGAAAATGATACAGATGCCGCTCAAGCAGAGTGGACACGATCTGTCCAACAAACACTACAGCGGGCGGCAGTATTTCCTGTGCAGCGGCCTGGCAGATATTTCCTCCCTGTGGACATACGTCAGAAAATTTCTGACAAAAAAGCTGCAATCAAGCAGGCAAAAAGGTCTTGTCATCCTGATGACATCCGTAGAGCTACGAATCTTGTTCACGAAGTAAGAAACGTACTTCACGAATTCCGAAACGAGCAATGGAACGACTTTCTTGGAGGAATGCTTGACAACGCTACTCCTCTTTGGAAAGTAGCGAAGTCGCTCAAAAATGGCAAACGGGAACAACTTCTGCATATCCAAGGCCCCGAAGGCGTAGTCTTCAGGACTGAGGATAAAGCGAGAGTTTTTGCTGATGTCATGGAAAAACAGTTTTCGCCAAATTATGATCTCGATAACAATCTCGACGAGGAACGAGACATTGTCAGATCTGTTAGGAGGTATTTTGCTGTTAATGACGCCAGCGGCAGCACTGCTAGAGCTGGTGTATCCTCTTCGGAAGATTCTTCAACAGAAGCTCTGCATAGCACACCGACAGTCATCATCAGTGATTCCGTATTTCACACCAGCACAGCTTCAAGGTCATATAAATGATCTGAAGGTGCGCAAGGCACCCGGAGAGAATCAGATTACCAACAAGGCGCTTAAGCTGCTGTCGTCAAAGGCAGTGACATACCTGGTAATAATAATCAACGCAATTCTTAGGCTCCAATACTTTCCAGATGCGTTAAAGGTCGATGATGTCATCATAATCTCAAAGAAGGTAGGCTCAATATTTCCGCAGGATTATCGCCTCATTAGCCTGCTGTCTGCTCCTTGTAAGCTCGCCGAAAAGGTGATTTATGGTCACCTTGAGAATTTTTCGTCAGGTCTCCAAGTGACTCCTGATGGTCAATTCGGTTTTCGGTCCGAGCATAGTACGGAGCTATAAGCAGTCAGGCTGGTGGAGCGTATAACCAACGGATTCACCCACGATAAGAGCACGGGAATCCTTTTTCTGGATGTCGCGAAAGCCTTTGACAAGGTGTGGCACGCAGGCCTCCTCTATAAACTTATTCAAAACGGTTTCCCTGTTTGGCTATTAAAACTACTCAAATCTTTCTTAGATGGAAGGAAATTCAGAATCAAAATTAACAGTGTATTTTCTACAACACTGAGCATTCGGGCCGGAGTTCCGCAGGGATTGGTCTTAGGACCGCTCTTATACTCGACTGTGACGTCTACCTCTATGCCGACGACACCGCATTAGTAGCCCAGTCATGTTCTAGAGACATAGTCCATGACAGGCTGCAAGAAGCGGTGGACCAGGTTTTAGAGTGGGCGAATCGGTGGCTAATCAAAATTAATTTTTCAAAGACACAGGCTATCTATTTTACAAAAAAGCGCCGTGGTGCCCCGTCAGATATTACTGTGGATGATGTTACAATACCATGGGCTAACAAAGCTAAATATTTAGGTCTTACACTCAACAAGGATGTGACTTGGCAGTCACATTGAACAACTGAAAATTAAATTCCAAATTACATTTCGGCAAATGTATCCGCTTTTATCAAAATTGAGTTTGGTCAATAAGATTCGGATACACAAAACCATCATCAGACCTGCAATAACCTACGCAAGTGCGGCTTGGTGCTTTTTAGCTATGTCACATATGCGTAAACTACAAGTTCTGCAGAGCAGAACTCTCCGAACAATAACTAATGCCCCATGGTATGTATCAAACGATACCATCCATAGAGATCTTGACATCCTTTACCTTAGGGATTACATCATAGGTATGGCACAACGGCGCTACCAGCAAGCGGAATCGCACAGTAACCCTTTGTTGCGTGAAGCAGTGGATTACACAGTCGAGGAGATACGCAAACATTACAGGCCGCGACTCGCACTGTGAACAAAATTAAATTCATGTTCAGACCTTTAAAAACTATAGTTTTTAAAAACCAACGACCCAAAATTCAGTTCAGGACAAGTCAAAAATTTATATAGTACAATATAACAGTTCTTATATCTACCACACCTCAAATATTTACATAAAACAATTGCTTTTCTTTCTCTTTTCGCTCCTACTTCCTTCCTTTCTTTCTCCCTCTCCCCTTTCCCCACAACTTGTCTGGTTTCTGCGCCACCAGACCTGACAGATTGACGACAGACACTGACATTACAGTGACTATGACCTAAAGGCTAAGGTCCTCCGGACCGCCTTGAGAAGCAACGACGAGTAGTAGTATGAACGGCTTTTTTGCAGAACTCGGCCATCCAACGAAAACGGATGAGCGCTAGCACGCTTTTTCTTCGTGAAGGTGCCTACTTACAGTACTGTGTTTTGGAAACATGTTCACATTATGTAAATAAAATTTATTCTCATACTACTTCGCAAATCATATATTCGATCAAATAAAATATTCTATAGTTCTGAGTTGATTTCACTTGCTAAGCTTATGGACTATCATCTTTCACTACGCTCTTCGGATCAATAAGTATTTTCTTTCTCTGACCATTCTGTACCACGCTGAGTTCAAGCACGTTCTCTACGTTGGTTTGAAGATATATATCTGAAACCTCTTTCGCTGGTACTCCGTTAATATGTGTTATGACGTCGCCTGGCTGTAAACCGCTCCTAAAATATAAATAAAATTTTAGAAATCTCAGATCGGGATCAACAAGCTTAGACTAGATAGAAGTAGCCAGTCAAACACTTTTGTTTGTCTCCTTATTCCCGCAGGCTGTGAGGACCAAAGTGTACTTGACATAAGTAAAAATTTTTACAATTCGTAGTTTCTGTGTTATTTTTTAAAAGTGCGAGTGTTCGCAGATAGTTGTGTTGTTAGCTGATTTCAAGACGTGCTACTTCTTTCATAATTTGCAAAGAACAGCACAAGCCTCATGAGGGTAGATGTTTCCAGCGGTAAGGATTATTATTATGTTGATACAAAGCTGTCACTTTGGTAGGCACTGGTAGACAAATGAGTCCAAAGTATGCACTAAAATTACACAATTTTTGCGACAATCAATTCAATATAAACTGGCTTGACTCCTAATCTATCGATGATAGGGATAAATAAAATTTCAGATAATCTTTGTATTCAACCTATTTTGATCTCTCTGAGACTTACTGAGCTGCCAGACTATCGCCCACAATCTTCCATATGAGTAGCCCGTTCTTGATGTCGTTCGGTATAGTGACGTTATTCCCCAAAAGATCAGCCAATACGTCAGCGGACAATGGGATGGTGGAGATTCCGAAGAGCGTTTTTCCCATGGGGCCCTTATTTTTGCCACTCTTGATCCGATTCCTGATCCAATATAGTTCGATATATACATAAAAAACACTGCGTCTCAAAATTAAGACACACCAGTTCGAAAGATCCTCTTGACATCACTTTTCAAGATAAAAATATGCCGCTCAAACGTGATACCATGGAACAAACTAGGAATACAGCTTTTGTTCGTCCTACTACAGACGGCCAATCATGTACAGCTGTTTCGTGCTATTTGGCAACTCATCAGCATGGCCTAGACTTGGGCTCAGGTAGAACAACGAACGAAATCTGAGCAACTATCCTCTATCCATGATATAAGATCTATCGAAATAAATCGGCACAAGGGGTCATCTATTACCAGAATCGGTAACTGCGAGAGTGAAAACAGCAAGCTGTCTTTTGGAACTGTATCCTAGTTCACAATTGTCACCCGGGTCACCACTGTGGTCGTTAGAGACAACCTATACTGATGGTACAGTAGATACGGTCTACTCGCCATTGAACAAACTATACGTAGTATATAGCTTTCGTTCAATGGCGAGAAGTCCGTGCCTATTATACCACCAGAAACGGCGGCATCTAGCAGCCACATCAGTCCTGGTCCAGCTGTCAGGTACGAACTGGAATACAGTTCCTATGGTGTTTGTTTATAATTTTAGTACCTTCAGCAGGGTTGCCAGATACAGAGTTATCATTTCCGGGACAATTCAAGGGTAACGGAGTCGGACGATAAGTAATAAATTTATGAAAACAAATAGGATATTTTAATTAGCCCTCGGACTTACGAGGTATTGATTTGAAATCAT